GGTCCTTTAGGCCCGGCCAGTTGAGGCATAGAGGCTGGTTAAAACACTTGAAATCACTCGTCATCATACAAAAGCTTCATTGTAATGACTGTGTACATGAATGATGTTGTATGATGTTTACATGTAGTTACAGTCCTGAGGTTAGTCAGATCTCGAGTTTAAAGCATTCTGTAGGCTAACCCCTACTTCAGAATGAGATGAAAATATAAGATTACCTACCCCTACTGGAAGTATCTGTCTTGTCTATTACCAATACTGTTTACAAAGACTAGGACAAGCTCCTCGATCTGCATTCGATTTACTCTTCATGCAATGACCCTGATAAATGCAACGGATTTGTTCTTTCTCCTTTGAATAAAAAAATAATCTCTATGTGATTTACAAATAATTAAATTCAATTCTGTACTGTCAATGGAGAATATCCCAGTTCTATATAATATCAGAAAGGCTTCAAGGATGTTATAAAACTGCATACACTTATCTTGTATTTTCTTTGAGCACCGCAAAAGCGACAAATGTGGGTTTGTGCCCTTCTCACAGTAGAAGGGTTGGATTGAAGGACCACCAGAACATTCTGTGTTACTCAATTTTGAAAAGTTACAAGGATTGCTCATTTTGGTCTGCTGCTGTCATTATTGAAATAACCTTTCTGTACTTTATAATTGGAGACTTGATTCAGGGGAATTAACACTGGATGCACATATGTGTTATTTCTATAAGACGTGTAAAAATATCATTTTATTTTGATTCTTCTTATTTACTAGCATAAATTTGATTTTGCAAATTAATATTTTAGCAATCTAATATTTTTTAAGGTTTTAGATTAATAATTATCGAGTAATTTCGAAATACTTAACAAAAAGAAAGGAGGCGAGGATGGGTGTTAGGATGTATTTTAACTGAAATGTTAAGGTATTTTAAACAATTTGCCATCAGTGGGTTTTTTATATTTTATATAACCAAGAACAAAAAGATAATTAATTCAATTATTTTCTACATTTAAGCAGAACAAGGGAATCAGACTTAACGTAAAATTGAAATATATAAATATAGGCATCATGTACATAAAAGGCTGATAATGGAATTCTTATTATAAACCCAAAATTAGGTGGAAATGGCATTTATGGATTTTAGATGTCTAAAGCAAAACCAACTTATGATGGTATTTCCGGCCTTTCGCATTGAAATATGCAATTTAGGTTTAAACACATAAGAACTGAAAAAATCAACCTCAGGAGGAAAATTTCAAACCACCCTTCTGGACAATTTTTACAATATTGCATGTTTTTATGTGAAACAAGCACTTAAGTCATTTGTATTTTTTCGGTCAATTTTTCAGGCTTGTCCACTGCAGGAAATCAGTACTGTTCAGACAACTCGCTTGCTATTAAAATCTGTTCAGTCAATGTTAAAACTGTTATGAATCAGTAGTTGTTATTCACCAGTACAAATAAAACAACATACTGAATTGTTTATAAAGCTCTTTGAACCGTACTGAATTGGCTGCAAGTGAATTATCTTAACCGTACGGAATCCACCAAAATCATTAATCTGATAATTGACTGAAACACTGAACATGACTAAATTATTTGTTTTTGTTCAGACATTGAAGATAATGTAAAGAGCAAAATGATCCTTTCTAAGTGCTATATGTTTACTAATGTCATGCTGTTGGTTTTTCTTGTTTGACTTGTTTTGTTTAACATTTTGTCTCATCGATCGGAGTCTTCTATAGCTTTATATATGATGTTTGGTTTCTCATTGTTGAAGACCGTTCGATGATTTAAAAGTGATTAGTTCAACTTGATGTGGTTGATAGTTGTCTCTATTACAGTCAAACAGCATTATAAGTCTGATAACATATTGTTTCAATACAAAATATTATGAATATTCATGCAGCATTTTTGGTATTCCTTGTTTTGAGGGAGTTCCATTTGTTACAAATAAGGTGTATCAGGTAGCAAGTAATTTTACCACGTACAATTTCTCACTATCTCGTTCTCTATAAAAATATTACCAGCTCAACACATCATCTGTATTTAATGTTTGTTTTTTCAGTTAGTGTGTTTGATACTTTCTTAGTAGAAAGTAAATAATTACATGTACTTAGGAACTAGAGAGATATGTATTTTCCACAGCTTGTAGAGATGGTACGTTCGGGGGAAATTGTCTAAGAAAGTGTTCGGCAAATTGTATATCGGACCCTTGTAATCATGTAACAGGAGAATGCGAAAGATGTACCAACGGATGGAAAGGATTTAACCTCCGGGCTCATGGTTTCTTTTTCAAGAATCAACGCTTATTCATTGTATCTAAATTACAGAGTCTACCACAACAGCAACCGTGAGAATATATGTCTCCATTCCAGATAGTTAATTTTGTATTTTTAAATTGCGAAGCTTGCCAATTTTTTTTTTTCTTTTTAATTTGAACGTTAACTGTCGACAGTGAAAACATATTGTATTACACGAGATTCGTTGGTGTAATTTGTTTCTCTGATGGTTTTTAGAAGATATGCAGATAAACTGCCAAACAATGTGTTTTTTCTATTAAACCTCATCAGAGATGGTGAGCTTTTCTTATCACTTGGCGTCCGTCGTCGTCGTCATTCTTCAAAACTTTTACAAAAATCTTCTCCTCTGAAACTACTGGGTCAAATTTAACCAAACTTGGCCACAATCATCATTGGGGTATATAGTTTAAAAAAGTGTCCGATGACCACGCGTGCCAACCAAGATGGCCGACATGGCATAAAATAGAACAACGTGGTAAAATGCAAGTTGTTCTGTCTATAATTTTGAAAACCATTATGGATAAAAAATAAATATATATTATTATTATTATTTATAGTTATAAATAGAGAAAATGCCACCATAGCAAACATGTTCCGAATGTTGAGCTCTACCAATTGTTTATTAATGTCAAAACTGTCAGATGACTTCTTATTTGAGTTATTGCCCTTAAATGACACAATTTACCATTTTGTTTCTTCTTTTTTGCCTATAATCTTGAAAACTATTATAGATAGAGAGAAACTTTAAACTGAAAAAATTACCAGGAAAACAAGTTCTACAAACAAGTTTTGCGGTCGAAAACGTCAGTCAACTCCTTATTAGAGTAATTACCCTTTGATGACGATTTTTACCAATTCTGTGCGTATTTGCCTCATACAATGTATCTTAAAAATCATAATTAGATAGATAGAAACTTTAATAAGCAAAAAAAAATTATTATCGATACAAGATCTACAATTTAGACATATGGAGGGAATCGTCCGAAGACTGCTTATTGGAGTTATTGCCCTTTAATGACGAGAGAAACTAAAAAAATAATGATCAGCAATACAAGATCAACAAAACAGAGATTTTTTAATGAATTCTATTTTCTTCTACAATGTTGGAGAGTGTCCTTTGTTAAATATGCACATAGACCAAGGTGAGCGACACAGGCTCTTTTGAGCCACTAGTTCAAATCATTGTAGAAAATCCAGTAGAAAGCAAAAAATGTGACGTCATAAATGAATTTTTATCAATGCGGAAATAAGATCAAACGTTGGTGATAAAAAAAAAATCAACTGGTCGGGAAAAGTATAAATTGGTTTAGAATTAGAGGAAAATAATACAATGTTTATAAACTGCATATAAAATTAAAAAATGTTTGAGCTGCAAATACGCAATTGTTTGATAAATACACTAACTAGGCAATGGACAGTCAACAAATAGAGTAGGGATTATACGGGAGTTTTGATAAAATCATTTCTAGCAAAAATGACATACAACCATCGGTCTATCTTTAACTGATTGCAAAAATCAATCGGCCCTGCATGTTTGTAGGAGCACCGTTTTGTGGACTTGCATTGGCCACACAGGCATGAGAGAAATTTTGGGCTAAAAAATCAAAACTTTAACAAATGAAAAAAAATAATGCGACTTATTTATGCATAAGAGCGGGGAAAATAATTTCTTGAATTTCTTAAACATAAAAAAAACTAAAATTAACATGAGCACATTATTAGTTCTATCCAAACTAAGATAGCAAGGATCAAATTCCCTTATATGTTCGTTTTACTTATTATTGAAATTAAATGTAGTAAGCATATAAGAAAGAATAAGACTAAAAAAGTTTTTTATTTGCTCCATATTTTAACTTTACTTTTGACTTTTGATTTCTGTTTCTTAATCAATAGTGTGTACAATATCCGTTGAGGTAAAAATAAATTGATTAAAAGCGTATACTTCAGAATTCATGTTCTTACTGAAGAAAAAAGGGAAGTATTTTTTGGAGCAACCTATTGCAAGGTGAAATCTCTGATCCTGTCTACAGTATGTCCTCTTTTTCCAGTTGCAGTCGAAAATCTTGTCCTTTAACTTAATCGACCCATTTCGTTAATTCGTCTCGGTCTAGCGAAATTACATAGAACACTGTTCCCCAGAAGAATTTCAAACAAAATTAGATCAATCTAACAAACCTACTTTTTGTATCTAAAAATACTGAAACTCTTTTGCGTCGACGTTTTTACCCTTAAACCATCCACTCATAATACTCATCGTTGTTTTCGATTTCGCGCCTAGGAGGAATTAATGTTTAATGCCCAGTGGCAAATTAAGATCATAATCAGGACGATAACATGTTAATGCAATATGAACATGAACCCAACGTTGAATTAGCCGACACGCTTGGCGGTATTTTGTTCGTGCTTGGTCAAAACATAATATGTCATGTCATGTCAGTCTAGCCGTACACAATAATCCGACTCCGAGCCTACCATTCTTTTCTCTAACTTTAAATGCTACGAACTTATCGGAAAAGCAGCAAATGTCAATTTTAATCCTTGGTTTGACCGTCTGCAAATATTGTGCTACTGTAAGTGATGTTAGTAATGCTCATGATACGGAACTGTGCGTGTTTGGATATTACATCTGATAACAAAACGTATTGATAATTCACTTTTTCAGAATGCAGCAAAGGAAAATTTGGGTTGGATTGTTCTGAATCTTGTGATGGTTGTATTGAATACATGTGATCGTTTTAATGGTGCATGTGTTGATAAAAGTGGATGTAAACCAGGTTATAAGTATGGACGATACTGTAATAAGAGTAAGTAATGATTGCTTATAATACTTCAATTTCCGTTTAACCAGCAAACTATATCCAAGAAATACAACTATACGAACGACTAGAACTAACAAAAAAGTTATGATCATATATAGGTTTAACTATCATCATTTACCGTGCCGTGTCGTTCAACTTCTAAAAGAATTTAAAACAACTGCTTTTCGCATATATACATATGTTTGGTAAAGAAATAATCAATCCGTTATCGTAGATAAGATACTGTTTTAGATTAAATGAAAAACAATTCTATTTTTAGCTATCGTCGAGTTTGGAAATATCAAAGTATACACCAGAATTATAAGCCAATATTTTCGGTAATACAAGACATTACTACAACAAAGCACGAATATATATCCAATCGATAAAAAGAGTATTAAGAAATCTTCGTTAGGTCTACAAAACCAAAATTTTCTTTAAGTAAAATGTTTTAAAGAAAAATGAATGCCGACACAACAAATGTTCAATTATATATATATATATATTTCCGAAAAAGGTGATGTTATAAAATCGTAATTCAAATGATTAGAAATTGAAAACCGTTTGTGATAGACACAATCTTTTTAATTAAAAATGTTCTAAATGATAAAGCACATTAAATGAAATACAGGGTTACTCCCGAAGGGTCACCCCCATCCCCTGCCATTTAAGAAAGTTTTAATATCTTTGTAAGTGGTCAAGACCCCCACCCCTAAACCATATATATTCTGGTTTGTCATGCTAAGATGATTTGAATGATATACATGGTTAGTCCCCAGAAGCCATCCCGAACCCCTGCCATTTGAGAAAGTTCTATTATCTTGTAAATGGTAGAGATCCCCAACCCCTAAACCATATATATTCTAGTTTGTCATGATATAGCACTTCAAATGAATTACAGGGTTAGTCCCTAGGGGTCACCCCCGTCCCCTGCCATTTAAGAAAGTTCTAATATCTTGTAAGTGGTCAAGATCCCGACCCTAAACCATAGCCCCAGAGGTCATCCCGACCCCCTGCCATTTGAGAATGTTCTAATAGCTTGTAAATGGTCGAGATCCCCACCCCTTGATCATAAATATTCCTGTTGGTCATGTCTCGAACATTTGAATGACATATAGGGTCCGTCCCTAGGGGTTCCCACACCCCCAATGTTCTAATATCTTGTAAATGGTCGAGATCCCCACCCCTAAACCATATATATTCCCGTTCGTCATGTCCCGAACATTTGAATGACGTATAGGGTCAGTCCTCAGAGGTTCCCCTCACCCCCTATGTTCTAATATCTTGTAAATGGTCGAGATCCACACCCCTAAACCATATATATTCTGGTTTGTAATGCCAAGATGATTTGAATGATATACAGGGTTAGTCCCCAGGCATCACTAATGGATATAACTTTACTGGACCAAACCAATTTTCACTGGACTATGCTCAATGTCAGGCGACCCTATGAATTACGAATTATGGGAGCTTCGTACGGGAGACTTCGTAACAGCATCCTGTTACAATCATTTCTTGTTTATTTTTATCGTTATCCGATGTTCTTTCTTCTTGTTAATCTATTTATTTATATTTTTTGAGGAGAAAATATGTTTTAATGTTTTTATTCCATACGCATTGTAGAAGATCACGAGTTTGTGCAGCGCTAAGGTTTAAGTTTCAACAGGATGTTGGACAAGTGATCATTGCATATGTAGTTCAAGCATGCACATTCAGGACGAGATAAATATGAACCTGACTTTGTACTAGACCGACACGCTAATCCAATTTTTTTTTAAAGTGTTAGTTCACAAGGTAACCATGGTAACAGTACACAGAAAGACAAGTCATCCTACCGGGAAATGTTATTATGACTCCGGTCCGAACATTTTGCACTAACTCCTAAATATCGCATGCTTAGCAGAAGGACTGCCAATCTTTGATTTGAACCAACCGAATATCGAACCAAAGATCTCCCGTAGTCGAGGCGAGTACGTTATCATACGGCCATCGAGGCGGTTATGAATATTGTAAATACACATACATGTACATGTATATTCAACCCATTTGAAACAAGAATATGTGATCATTAGACACCGTGCTCCCGCACATTATCAAATCTCTATTTTAAGTAAACCACTTAATCAGGGTAAAAACATAGTTTGGTTTATAATATCAAATGTTTTAAATTTAAAACGGGACGCGTGAATGAACGGACGCAGAAACTAGAAAGTAGCATCCCTTTGATATCATGAGTTGGTCATGAAAATATAAATATTTTACTTAACAAAATTGCAATAAAATATTCCACAGATGTCCGTTTTTCAGACGTATTTGTATAAGCTGAACGCAAAACACTTCATAAACATATTTTGTGAGCAATTACGTTAAGTTACGTATGCAAACTCCTCATATAACTCATGCATCTTTATAATTAAGAAACAATAAGTAAATATAATAACTGATTTAGTAAAGTGCAATCAATTGTTTTCTTGATAAATTCCATCTTATCAAATTTGACAGTAAGATGATTAAGTTCTATCAGATACAGAAACATCAGTTATCTGAATTTCTCCCTCTGACAAAAGTATCTTGCAATAAATCATATAAATGATAGAACTTTACGAAAAAAAAGTTAGTCGTGTACACTTTGATATTTCGGCATGTTTGAGGCCCCTGTTTCAAACTTATAACTTCTAATTAAAATATGAGAACATCATCTCGCTTCAGATTTCATTTTTTTTTTTTATTCTTTTTAAGTTAATTTTGATTTAGTAGTTTTAAGAATTTATCCATTGAGAACTAAATATGTGGGCCAAGTTAAATGACTGGTCGGTGCGTTTGATTAACCATAACTGGATTATTTATTCCCTTAACAGGTTGTTGTTTATAAAATCATCCAGAATCTAATAACAAAATATGTAATGATTTGAAATAGCAGATTGCTTTGATTTTTTTAAAACAATTATTCCAACAAAATATGTGCAAAATGAACATGGAGTTTATGCTCCCCATCGTCATGCATCACTGCAATAGGCCGAGACACGTTCAGGTAGGTTGGTTATGTCGAGTTTTGTCATTTTATTGGAAATCTCTAGGACAACGTGATATAACATAAAAAAAGAGACTGAACTATGAGGAATATGAAACTGCTTTATCTACACTGTTAAAATGGAAACCCTTGATAATATATCATCAGGACTCTTTCAAACTTGCACAATGGACGCACATTTCAGCAGACAACGACAAAAAGTTTTGAAAAAAAAAACGTTAAAAAAAATAAAAACTAGAACAAAAACATAGAAAAAAGAAACAGTTTTGATCTTTATTTTGTTCCCTTTCAAAATGTTGCTTTACGTTTTAAATGAATAATGTACTGCATTGTCACAATGTAGGCACTTACCTATACATCCTGTTGTTTTGATGATTGTGTGGATAGGCACTTTGGAACCAATTGCACACAAATGTTTTACTGTTTGAACAACCAGTGTGAAAATACCAGTGGTAACTGCTTTGATGGCGGCTACAAAAAGGGTTGACATGTTGAAAGTAAAAATTATATCACTATCATTTATGCACAAAGAAATAGTTGTCTTTGTTAATCTTCTTTAAAAATGTAATACTTTTGTCACTGAGAGCAAATTACCAATACCCACTGCTTAAATTCATAATGAGAGCGGGATGTAAATATTAGAATTCGTAATTTCGAATGGTAAATTTAGGCCGTGTTATGATTCAATATATACTTATATACTTAATTGTTTATTTGAAGCTTGTGAGGATTGGCATTTTGGAACCAACTGCACAAAAATTTGCTACTGTTTGAACAACCCGTGTGATAAATCCAGTGGCAATTGTTTAGATGGCGGCTGCAAAAAGGGGTGGCATGGCCAATCGTGTGATAAAAGTAAGAATTATATCACTATCATATATGCATGAACAAATAATTGTCTTCGTTTATTTCCTGTAATTATTTAATACTGTTGTTCTTAAGAGCATAATACCAATATCAACTGCTTTAAATTATATAGTTCTAATAAGATCGTGAGGCAAATATCAGAGTTTGAATGGTAAATTAAGGCCGTGTTATGATTTAATTAATTAATGTCATGATTAGTATACTCAACAGACTGTCTGCAAATATGGTGCTACTGTAGGTGTTGTTAGTATTGTTCATGATACAAAACTGTACGTGTTTGAATATTATATCTGATAACAAATCGTATATCAAAATAATTAACTTTTTCAGCGTGCAGCAAAGGAACATTTGGGTTTGATTGTTCTGAATCTTGTGATGGTTGTATTGAAAATACATGTGATCGTTTTAATGGTGAATGTGTTGATAGTACTGGGTGTAAGGCAGGCTATGAGTATGGACGATATTGCAATGAGAGTAAGTTATTATTGCTTATAATTCTAGTACAATATCGCACAATATCGCCTATTCTACACGGTCCGATACACATTTTGCTCTTAAAGACGAAACCAGTATAATAATCATAAAACACCAATGTAATAATTCAGATTATTAAGAATCTATCTTGATAATTTCTTTTAATTGCCGCTCTACCGTACCTTTGAGACTGGTTATTGCCAACAATCCAATTTAGATCGATACGTCGCTTAAATTTAAACTAAATATTCAAAGACTATTAAAACCATTCACTGGAATTTTCTTCCATATCCAATGATTTTTACGTGATGAAAATTGACAGTAATCAGGTATTTTATATTCATCACGTGGTTCTCCAGATTCCTGCCTTAATGTTCACTGACATAGGATCACGTAAAAACACGGAACTCTTAATTATTATATGTTCGATTTGAATTAAATTTCATGGCCTTGATAATGACATTTTTTATCACTATACTTTGCAGATGAACGCTCCATTATTCTATATCTTGAATGCTTATTTTTTTCGTTATCCGATGTTCTGTCTCCTTGTTTATCTATTTATATACATTTTTTGTGGGGAAAAGATATTTTAGAAGGATATTTTACAGACAAGTTCAGAAAGGTCGAAATC